AACACGATTTGGAATCAAATATGATATACTATTCGTCCCCAAATATTCTACGATATAATTTTAAAACTAGTAACGAGTTTTCCCTAAAATGGAAAAGGCTTTGAAAACTACGAAATACGCAAAACTTTTATTGAAAGGTGTGAAATGAAAAACGGGTTTTTCGATCAAAAATATCCGGTTTTGAAAAATCAAGATTCCAAAAAACCGCCGGTGGGTGGGAAAAATCTCGTAACTTTCCGTCAATCACGTAATTTTTACATATGTATGTATGTATGTGTATTTTAAACCAAAATAAATAAATAAATTCTTTTCAATGAATAACTTTTGGAGCTATTTGCAATTTACGATTATTCAGCTTAAAACAATGTGTGGTTGTACTTAATTCGCTGAGCGACGAAAATTTCAATAGCTTTTTATCCCCTTAAGCGCCAAGGAAATTTTTTTTTTTGGTTTTTGTTTTTAACAATAAAAATTTATTGAATATGAACTAAAACTCAAAAAAAAATAAATAAATAAACAAAAAATATAAATTAAAAAATTTCCAAAGAAATAATAGAAATAAATAAAAAATAAAATAAATACAAAATAATATAATAATATAATAAAAGATAAAATAAAACAAAATAAAAAATAGGAAGAGGAAAATGTTTGCGGTTTAAAAAATGTACCACCTTCTCGCAACATCCAAAACATATGTGGTGCAAATTCTAAACCAGTGCTGCCGAAAGAGTTAATCACGTATATCTTGCGAACGAATTGAACAATCAAAATTCACCGTGTAAACTTCACTTTAGATAGGCCCAAAAATTTCTGAGAAATTAATTGATCATTCCAAATTTTTTGTTTTTTTGTTGAAAAAATTAAAAAAATAAAGCTACCAATGAAGAAAATCGATGGATAAATAAGAAAGGAATGAGTGGTGAAATTAAAATGCGCAAGGATTTTTTGTATGAAATATGAGCAGAAATAGTGTTTCTCAGGTGTCTTGCTCATTTTTCATAGAAAAAATCTTTGTGCATTTCCATTTGACCACTCATTCCTTCTTTAATTACACAGGTAAAAGGTATTTTCAGTAAACCAAACCTACATATCCCTATGCTATTCGACATGCTGAATGCGAATCCGAGGTCCGTTGGCCTCCATCACGTCGGGTTCGTGGTCATTTGAAGGTCAAGTAGGGAAAAATTCATCGAATCCGGGCCCTACGCAGTGGTAGTATGCCTCTCTAACCAAACAGCCATAGCGGACGATTATTAACACATTCAAAACTTTTTTGTTTTAATTTCTATATACTTATATACCATACTAATTAAATACTTATTGTACACATACATACGTATGTATATACATATGTACATATAAAGCCACTGAAAACGAAGTTGTTGAATCAAACATATGCAACTATATATGTACATATATAGCCCAATAATTTTTGGTTGGTTTATAAATTTACCTCCACAATGATCCTTGAAGTCACCACAGCAGTCACCTAGCTTCAGACACGCGTGATCACAATAGCATGGTTTGTCGTTGAGGTCTTCAATAATGGCGTTAATCGGAGTTTTTTGAACTACACAAGAGGAGTCACGCCCAGCGCAACAAAGTTGCGCTTCACGACATGAGCCCGCTGAAACCAATTGTAGCTGCAATAACAATGCAACCGCAGTAAGTAGCTCCAATATAAGTGCCGATAAGAGAAAGCGTTGATGGTGTATTTTTTCCATAGATGTTGTTGTTAATGCAATGGGCATCGCAGATATTTCAGACTGTGATATACACATTTTGGTGTAATTGACTCCGTAATTTCAGTGAATTTTATTTAGCATTACAAATCTGTAGTAGCTCGTTCGATTGATATGTTCAAATTTACTTCATAATTTAAAAAATATTTATTATAAATAAAAATAAATAAAGCCAAGAAAAACGTGCATACATATGTATGTATGTACATATACACATGCGTAAGTACATACATACATACATATGTAAGTGTCAATCACTGGCATATCTATTTAGTATCTTAGTCAAACATTAATAAAGGAAATTAAAAAGCTGGACGCACTCGTAATCACAACGTTTCACAAGAACAATGAATGTACGCAATATAAATTTAAAATTAATTGCTTCAAATCAATAGTACAGTTACACGAATTAAATGGTAAGGGCTCTTGTTAATCGCTTTTTTTTTTTTAATATAAAGCTCTTATCTCTTAGCCGGCACAATCGCGCTTAGGCAGGGATAAGTATATCGTGACATGAGCAACTATTAAAAAACTTCTTGTGTTTAAATATAAACGAAGTTACAAAGCTAGCGAACTAACACACATACTAATTAGTTCACTCATCTTTTATTCTGAGGTATTTGAAGTGTTATAATTGCAAATATTTCAGTTTCAGCAGAGCGCATAATGAAAAACTTCAACCACTCTCGACTTAATTTACCTTCTAATGCTTTAAATGTTTTTGTTTTTTTTTTTTATAATTTAGTTGTGTTTATTTAGATCCAACGCTTATAATATTATGCCGGTGACCGAACAATCTCTCCAAATGGCAAAACGACGACTGCTACATGCAGTTGTATATTGATGATAAATTGTTGCACCTACGTTCTCAGTAGAAGAGCGCTCTATATTTTGAGGCATGCGCTTGAGACAGTTCCTTAAGTAGCAGGGAGACCAGATAAATCATTTCACATTCTAGCTCTGTGAACGTTCTTTTCCAGTAAAAACTATCGATTACTAATTTTTCGCGATTTTAATAACATTCGCTATCCCAAAAAGGACGATAGGCCAATCCACAAATTTTATTTTAAATATGTTTTATTTTGTACGAGTAAAAATCTTTCTCTTAATTTCTACTAAATTGCTTATTTTGCAAATCTCTATGTATGCCTCCTAGAAAAGGTTTTCTGTCGAAACTAGAGATGATCGCTGAAAGAGGGCTCAAAGCAGTTGTTGGAGTTTGTCAAGAAAAGTGCTATGTAATGTTTGGGCACGCATCCTACCCAGCTGGACGAAACTCTCTCTTCTGTATGCGCTTTGAAAAGTCTCTGTAAAAAGTATGGTCATTCTTCAGTTTTGCCCTATTCACTCCCAGCGACACGAAATTTTTTATGGAGCTTTTTGGCGGATTAAATAAGTTTAAATTTCTCTCAATCGGGACGTTCCGTTATCGCCAGCAATTCAGCTCGAATTTTCACATCAGCTACTTCTTTGACCCTCTGCTAGGGCAGGCACCTTGTCGTGGC